CTCAGAAAGGTCATCAGCATGCAGTCTTGGATACGGATATGGTACTGCTGTTGTCATACGTCGCATGGCGGGGAGTTTCCTGCGCTCGGAGGCAGGTATCTTCCATCTCTCGCCGAGATGACATGAGCGTGTGAGTGTCCAGCAAAACTGACCAACCCCTCGACTCGAATCATGCTCCTCGCATATCCCTCTCCCACCAGTAGGCCGGGACGAAAGAACCCTATCGCGACTCTTGCCTGGATACATTCACGCCTCCTCTTCTTCTCTTCCTGCTCCTCCGCTTGGCCACCTCGATGGAGCTGAGGCAATATCTAGCATGCACCAAATCGGTCCGGAGAGTCTGCTTGCCCGAATTTTCTCTTGTCTGTTCATTCCCCTGTCAAAACTTGTCAGTCAATCGTCAACGCATGTGGTTTCCCCTCCCAATAATCTTGCCAGGAAGGCGGCTGCTCCCTACGTTGGGCAGCCACGGCATGTCTGCCAACTCACAACAACGGTTCAACCGACAGCCGAGGGGAAACAGCCTTGTGGTCCGAAGCTGCAGTCGTCGTCACCTTGGTTCTGCTCTCAAACCCCTCTCAAATCCCTTGTGATGGTCCCATGGTAGCCCCCCAGACGATGGGCACCGATGACATGAGGCTAAAAATGTCAAAGTTTTCATCTCTGTCGCCGCCCGAGTCTCGTTGCTACCATGGAGCGTCGGGGATCAGTCCCAAACTGGACCAGATGGATCCAAGGCACCTTGCAAGGCTTGTGGTCCCACAGAGTCCGCGATCTGGTGTTCCCCAAAAAAGCCGCTGCTCAGGTACGCACGGAATTTGTATGGTCAAAGGGGCTCGCCAAGGTGATTGGAGTTGTGTCCCCAAAAAAGCTCGACCGTTGTCGCAAAGATGACCCGACCGTTCCGCTGCGGCTCCAGCGAATCGCCAGTCGCAGCCGCCCTCCTCAGCATGAAGCTAATGCAAGGCACAGCGAGGTGATGGCGAGCTTGAGTGGAAGCGAGAACCGAGCAAAACCTGCCAGTGCCGAATCTGTCGACGGACCACATGGCGGCATGTCAATCGCTCTTTTGTAGACAGTCTTGAAGAGGTGTGTGTAAGTGCCGGGTCCAATCTCTTTTGTGCATGCGGTGGGAGCAAGAATTGAACTTGCTCTTTTCACAATGACCCCCTCACCGGTCATCCAAGCCCATCCCATTCCAATCCCAATGTGCCGAAATGGGATGATTCGGGCCAAGCAGGGCCCCTCTATGCGAGCATAGAGGGGAGAAAACGTGGCCCGGTAACCTGTCAGTCGAAGCAATATTGGCTTCCTCTTGCAGCCTGATCACCTTTTGGGCGCAATCATGTATTATCGGACTTCACAGTCTCATCATACCACTGCTGCGTATTCATCATCCGTAAATCACAAAGTTACAACCGTCAGCTTCTCATGCGAGCAAATGAAGGGAAAACAATGGCGCTACAACACCACATAGACGTGAAGCCTTGGTTCGGACATCTGCAATCACCGCAGTCAAAGGAGCGATTCGGTACCGGTGCGGCCAACAAGTGGCCGGCTGAGCGGGACGTATATCCCCCCAACCAAACTCTGCTTGCCCCTCCTCCTGGCTGGTTTTTTTTTTTTTTTTTTTAATATTCTCCAACAGTTCAAGGCGGGAAAGTACCCTATATGAAATATGTACGTGGCAGTGGGTATCCTGCAGAGTTTCCACTTTGCGTTGATTGCGGCGTGTAACTGACCCTGCAGGCTGAGAGCCCAATAGGGCGGATACGTTTCTCGCGAGGTTGCACTGGAATATTTTCCGCCGGGCTCTAGAATTAGGGCTTTGCTTGCCTTTTGTTCAGCATGGAGCAGAAGCATTTGAAAAACCACCCTGTTTACCAAGAGTGGGAAGTATGAATGGCAAGCGCGGTACCGAGGACTATTTTGGCTGAGCAAGGTTTCTGTCTGCCTTGTAAAAATACGTGACCAAACTAGGAGAACATACGGCTCCTGCTACCCGCTGACAGAGACTTGTCCCGGTTGACAAGGCGGCCGTGGGCCTCGACCGTGTCCTTCCCCTCACGGCGAGAAGATGACATGCGTCTCTGGGCTATATCGGACCGCTCGGTATTGGAGTTCTGAACAATGTTCCATCTACCCTTCTCCCCTGATCCCGGTTGGCGGGCCGCGGGTTCGCAGCTTTTCTGTCTGGCTGTTGAATACTAATCTTACCCGGCCCATCAAGGACTGGGGAGAGAAAAAGAGAGATGCCAACAATTTTCCTACCGGGCTAGCCGCTCCTTGTGAGCTTTGTTCCCCAAAAACGCATAGAGTACAACGAATTTGAGACGCCCGTGTGGGCCCAAGAAGTCCAAATCTGGACCAAGGTAGCCCAAGTTGTGAAAAGTGGTAGAGGTCATCAGCAAATCCCTGTCTATTTTATTAAGGACAGAAAGCTAGGTAGTTTGCCCGGCACACCCAAGAGGTAGAGTAGTAGACTAGTGAGATGACACCGGTGGTTGCCCTGATCGTGTGTTTACAACCGTGTCAACCTACCCCTGAATACCCCTGAAGCCCACGGGTCCTATAAGCTTCATCAAACCTTCAAGATGGCCCAGCAGCCGTCAGAAACCCAAAATCAGCCCCTTTCTCTGCCTGATTGACCTCTCTCCTGTACAGCCCTTTATACCCCCTTTCCTTCTCCCTTGCAATCCAAGCACTCTCCCCCCGTTCGCCCATCGCCTTCTTCCGCTGTTCAATCCTCGCTTTGATCTCCTCCTCCCCAATCTCAACATGCAAATACCTCTCCTCCGCATCAAAAGTAATCATGTCCCCGTCTTTGATAATCCCCAGCACGGACTCCGGATCCGCGCTCTCGGGAGAGACGTGCAAGATGATGGTGCCCCCAGCCGTGCCGCTCATACGCCCATCTGAGATCCGGAGCATATCCGTCACCCCTTTTGCTGCCAGCTTTCTCGGGATGGGGATCAAACCCGCCTCTGGCATGCCCGGGTTCCCCACCGGGCCGATATTTTGAAGGACCAGCACGGACGAAGGGGTGGCGTTGAGGTTGGGGGAGTCGATCCTCTCTGCTAGGTCTTTCGGACCGGAAAACACCACAGCAGGTCCAGTGTGGAAGAGGAGATTGCGGTCTTTGGAGGCGGAGGCTTTGATTACCGCCCCACCTGCGGAGGCGAGATTGCCTTTGGAAAGGATGACGAGTGAGCTGGAGGGATACAAGGGCTCGTGGTAACGGTGGATGATGGATTTGAGTGGTGAGTCTGGTGGTAGTGGGCGGAAGGGGATAGAAGCCAACTCCACTCCCAAGGTGCGGCCGGTGATGGTCATTACGTCGAGATGAAGAAGGGGCTTGAGCTCGTGGAGCAGGGCGATCATCCCGCCGGCGTTGTGAAAGTCGGTCATGTAATTGTCACCTGATGGTTTGAGGTCAACCAGTAGGGGGGTCTTGCGGCCGATATCGTCAATGGTGTGCAGGGTTATGGAACCGGCCAACTGGGGGTGGCGGTTGACAATCGCCATAAGATGGACAATGGCGTTGGTGGAGCCGCCTATCGCCTGGAGGACTGTGATGGCGTTGAGAAATGACTCCTTTGACAGTAGCGTTTGGGGTCGGAGTTGAGATTTCGCAAGGCTCACTGCATGAGTGCCTGTTGCTTCCGCTATTCTGAGACGCGAAGAGGACACAGCAGGTGCTGTCGCACTCGGCAAAGAAAGGGGCATGAGACCCAAAGCCAGGAGGATACAGGACATGGTGGATGCTGTGCCCATCACCCCGCAGGTTCCAGCCTAAAATTGATGTGAGAGACTGCCGAGCAAAGGTGAGATACTGTATACATGGGTATTCAAGACGTACTGTGGGTGCTAGCTCTTCGTTAAGAGCACTGATGTCTTCGATATCTAGACTTCCAGCACGGAACCTGGCCCAGTTATTCCGACAGTCTGTACAAGCCCCTATGCGTACACCCTGAAAGCTACCCGGCATCATTGGCCCAGTTACCAGATGGATGATGGGTTTGTTGGCTGAGATGCCTCCCATCAACTGAGCAGGGGTCGTCTTATCACAGCCTGTAGTTGTGTCAAAGAGCCATATATTTCCATGCCATGGAAGAAGCAAGCTTGAAGAGCTGGAGGACCTACCACCAATGAGGACAACAGAATCAACAGGCTGTGCTTGAATCATCTCTTCTGTATCCATGCTCATCAGATTTCGCAGATACATGCTCGTCGGAGAGGCGAACGACTCGTGGAGACTGATAGTGGGAAAGTCGATAGCCAAGCCACCGCTCAACTGGACGCCTCGTTTCACAGCATCTATGAGCTGGGGAATGTTGGCGTGGCAAGGGTTGAAACTGGAGTAAGTGTTGACGATGCCCACAATCGGCCGAGAAAGTGCATCCTCGCTGTACCCTAAAGCCTTGATGAAAAGTTTGCGCATGAAAAGGGAGAAGTGGGGATCGCCATAGGAAGCAAGCTTCTGTCTAAGACCTACTCCGTCAAAATTGAGAGGTTTTGCAAGATCATAATCCGGGTTGATATCCAAAGCATCGCTGTGCGGTTCCATAGCAGGCTGGATCTGGTGGGTGGTGAAGTCGAAGCGGTTGGTATCTCGGCACTGATTCTATTCAAAGAAAGGTCCATATAAAGTATAAGTAAGGTATGTTCTAGTGTGTACTGCACCAGTCCTTATCATACAAGTAGGTATTTTTTTAGGTCTTTCTGCGGGGAAATAATAGTAATGGGAGGTGTCATTTAGCGCTACGATTGCATCACGCCAATGAGACGGGATGAAAAGAAGGACAGTCAGTAGTTGTTAGCCAACGAGGAGCCTTAGACAAGCTTATATCTAGTTTAAGAGGTCAAAATGGAAGCCTCGGCCTAACAGACAACCAACAATCCGGAAGAGGGTGTGAATAGTAACGTCGTTTCTTTCCCTGAATGCCGGCTTAAGCTACCATGAAAGCCATCTCCGCTCTCAGTGCTCATCCAAAAGTCAAGGGCGTGTGGCTCAGTTGGTAGAGCGTTCGCTTAGCATACTACATTGTATGCGAAAGGTCCTGGGTTCGATTCCCAGCTCGTCCAAGATCCAGTCTCTCCAGGAGACCTCATACTTTTTGAGGGATTTTCGCCCTTGACCGGGATGTGAAACATCAATGCGTTGAGGTACCTGGCTACTGGGAATGACTAAGCCCTAGAAAAACTGGAAATAATGTTTAAATAGGAAAGAAACTAGATATCTTTTAAGTATAGAAGATTGGATTGTAAGAGATATCTCCTCTAATTAAGTAGCTAGGTAAAGTACTTATATGATACTTATAGGACTGAGAAAAGATTAGGAATTGTAAGAGTTAAGTCTGGTATTTTAAGTGGGACTACGGTGCTTAAGGTGAGCTTTAGCTTTTAAATTTTGCCGTGAAAATTTTCCACACCGAAATGCCGCAAACCCGTCCAGCCACACACAACCTTGCTCTCAAAAGATCCAATCCCTCTCCATCACTTCAACAAACAAAAGGCTCAGTCGGCTCCAAGCCCGGCTAGCTCAATCGGTAGAGCGTGAGACTCTTAAGGAGTACTCCGAAATCTCAAGGTTGTGGGTTCGACCCCCACGTCGGGCTCAATTCCCGTCGACGACAGACGCCTTTCATTTTTTTATCATGATATTATTTTTGTATTATTTTAGTCTTCTTTTCCCCCCTCTGTCAATGTATAACAGCTTGCTCTATGGGGCTGAGACCCAACACCAGGGTTAGTGTCTCTGATAATTTGCATCATATATATATACCTATATATACACCAGTCACACTGAACTACCATGCATGGTGAATTTGACTTCTCGTGCTTCCTCTATCTGAGCTCGGCAGAGCTGTTTGCAGCATTTTTCCAGTTCATGTTGAAGAATTCTGCCCTTGGTACCGGTTGCTGGCTGTGGTGGTAGTGGTGGTGTCTGCATTCGGAAAATAGGGGTCGTGTGTAGCTTCCCCTTTCCGCATCAAGACAGCATCATACACCGGAACAATGATCCAGGCAAATGACGTCCCAAACCATAGCTCTGGAAAACAGACAAAGAAACAACAGGAGCTTATCAACATGCTCCGACAGCTGAACTTGATGCCCCCCCCCCTAGAGAGAAGCTCCCCTTTCGCCCATCACCTAGCTGATATCGACATTGGATCGAAACACCAACATTTGAACCAAAAGATCAAGAGCATTTCAAGATGGGGGCCGCATCCAAAGTGATCCACATCATCCTCCGGGTGTTTGAGGTGATTTGTTCAGTCATCGTCCTCGGCCTCGTCGCTCGCTTCCTGCATCTGGTCTCCGAGGCAGGAGTCTCGGCCGATTCTCGCATCGTGTATGCCGTCGTCACGGCTTCCATCAGTACTTTATTTGCCCTGGTCTTCATCGCCCCGTTCATCTATGCCTACCTGGCCTTCCCCATGGATGCAATCCTATTTGTCATGTGGATTGTTGTTTTCGGCTTGTTGACCTCGGTATGGTCCCTTTTCTTTACTTGGTCTTTTGCTCAAAAGTCGGAAAACGGAGAGAATCCTGTTGAAAACGGCGGCAGAAAAGCTAACCCGTGTATGAACAGCGCACCGGCTCGTCCATGTGTAACGCATCCTGGTACTGGAACTACTGGGGATACTACTGGGGTGGGTGGTGGCGTGTGCCAGACCTGACAACCTGGGATAGGGGCTACGGTGGCTGCGCATCCTGGAGGGCAGTTTTGGCCTTCTCCTTTTTGGCTGCCATTGCCTTCCTCGTCAGCGCCATCTTGGGAGCAGTTGTGGTGCATCGCTACCGCCGCAAGAACTCCCCTGTGTAAGTGTATTCCCTTCAGTTCGCATCGGTATATCAAAGACAAGACAGAGTGGTGCTAACTGATTGTACGAGTGTTTAGAACCACCAGAGATATCTCGGCTCCTATTCCACAGTCTCCAGCCACAGGAAGACCCGAGACAGCTCAGGTTCATGACCCAAGGGCCCCGCCATCTGCTCCCGCTCAGCAGACGGTTGGCACGGCCATCGATGTTTAGGGATTCAGGGGTACTACGTTGGTGTGGTGGAAACATTCGGACAACCCCATCCAATATCATTATAGGTGATACTCGAGACTCTTTCAATCAGAGGTGGCTGTTGGTCAACAGGAAAAGCAAGGGCAAAAAGATTCCGGCTTGCGGATATGCAGTCGGTAGCCCAGTAATAAAGATTGAGAGATAGGAAAATGGAAACGTTTAAAAAGCAGTGTGAGAACAAAAGAATGAGGTTGCCCAATAACAGGATTGAACTGTTGACCTTCGCATGACTTTTTATAACCGTGAGGTTATATTAGTACGACGCTCTAACCAGCTGAGCTAATCGGGCTCTGGCTACTGCTGGTGTGGCAGATCGATATTGGGGTATAGATAGGTATGTAGAGAATATGCTTAGGGCTAGGGCTGTGGCTTTTTTGGCCAGCTTCATGCTGAAGCTTGATGTCACCAGAGTGGACACATGACAGGAATCAACCTTGCGGCCTGCTCGGGCCGGGTGGTGCTCATATATCCACTCACGACGGCATGCCCCATACACCAACGAGATGCGCGAGATCTCGGAACAATGGTGGAGCAAACGAAATGGGTAAAAGAGCCCGTATAAGCCGGGTGAATAATGCCGGTTTTTATTGCTCGATAGACTTGACAAACTGCTACTACCCAGGGTCGGTGGTATAGATAGTGGCAATACTGTTTGTCTGAAGAGGAGACGATTAGCACCTCATTCTCAACCAAGGATTGCGTGTTGGAGAAAGGTAGGTGGGGGTCAGGGAAACATGGGACGAGGATGGAATGTTTGGATTTCCAAGCAGAAGCCATCAAACCCAGAGCATGCAAGCTGGGGGCTTGCCTTCACATGCACGACGGTAGATGACACCCGCACCCGCACATGCAAGTTTCACGTCGTGTTCCCCCAGTCTTGGAACATGCGATCTTGGACGCTTCTGGCCGAGGAGCGGACATTTGCTCCAAGGCAGGCAGGCAGAGAGGGCCGCTAAAGCAGCGCGGGGGCATAGTTCATTGACACCCAACCCAAGAATCACCTCATGGCGTCAACGCGGCCTCGAATTGGGAGCGCGGGGAAGCTGGCGTCCTCCCCTGTCGCTCCGTGTCCGTTTGCCCTAGCTCGTCTGGTCGTCGCGGGGTTCTTGAATCTTGATCGCCCATGGGCCATCAGCATTTTACCATTTGGCATTATCAACGAGATAAGAGTGGGGTTGGTTGGTTCCATGGATGAATGATACACTACCTACACTACACACCTACACTACTACATGGAGTGGCAAACTGAGGCTGATGGGTGAGTCCAGGGTGTCTCTAGAGGTACCGAAGGAATGAATGAGTGAGTGAGTGAGATATGGAGTGGAAGAATGAGTGAGGATTCAACAGTTCCATGGAAGCCCCGGGGAGTCAAGACGTGAGGAGGAACCTGAGGAAGGATGCCGGGAAGGCCGGGACAGACGGGACAGAACAGAAAGGTTGATGACTGAATGGTCGTCGCATGGGCAGTTGCCTCGTTGGGGTCGTCGTCGTCTTCATCACTCGCAGCGGGAAGAAACGGGTGGGGTGGGGTCGTCTGCGGCCCTGCAGAGGAAGGGCCAGCGTGGGATGCAGCGCTGGGCGACAGGCAATGGCGTGGTTTTTTCCAACTCCGGACTTCGGGGATCCATGGCCAGCATCTGGTCGAGGCTGTTGCTGATTGGCTGTGGCATTCAGAACCGTGGGGAGTCCTTCCTGGAGGCTGCAAATTCGGGAGCTTGTGAAAAAGCCCATTTAACTCTCATGCCCACCATCCATCTTCCTTTGCACCCTCAAGTCCCCCGATCGTCTTCTTGCTCACGTCTCCTCGCTCCCGGATCGACCTGTCTCTATCGCCCATTCCAGCAACCAGCCCCCGACAAAACCCACAGCTTTCAATTGCCTTTCGAGAATCCCGTCAGGACAGCGAGGAGCACCCACTGAGCGGAACGACCGGAGCTTGCCCGAATAATACCCTACAACAACATGTTTGCCACCAGAGTTCTTCGTCAGGCTGCTCAGCACGCCGAGCGCACTCCCTCCATCAAGTTCCTCGGCAAGCGGACCATTCCAGGTGAGTTCCAGCCGGTGACGATGGAAATGCACAGGCTGCAGTTTTGAGCCATTTGAACGCTCCCAGGCTAACCTCGTATTCTTGGCACAGTCTCCATTGACCACACTCCCCGCCCCCACCCCGCTTCGCCGACCAACTCCCTTCCGGCCTCCTTCACCAACGGCTCGGCCCACACCTCGTTCAGCGCCTACCGTGACCACGCCCAGCAGTTTGGTCCCCTCCGCAAGACCATCCGCGCCGACGCCGGCATCGGCGGCAATGCCGGTGCCGCTCTTGGCTCGGTTGCTCCCGCCGCTGGTGTCTACTTCGACCGCAATGATCTCCCAGCCCGCTTCCACCGTGTCCCCTTGACCGCGGATGAGATCGAGGCCATTGAGACCGGTGGTGCCGCGGCCTGGGCCTGAGCATAATTTCAACCAACTCTATATATACGGCATGCAGGCACACTCTTCAATACCGGGGTGCCTCAACTTTACCTTTTCCCCCGCTACATCATACACCACTCCCTCGCGGGTTTCGTTTAGGGACCCCTTTTCTACTTTTTACACTACTAGATGTCATGATACCCGGACACGGCATGACACACGCCAGAGAGGCGAAAAACCATGGACGCCGCGGAAAAGCATAGGCATGGGCGGTGGGTTTACAGGACATCAAAACACTGGGATCAGGATGGCACGTCCGCACAAAGCTCTTTTGAGAAAGACAGGGCGGCGGCGGCCTTTCTTTTGTTTATAGGCGCATTGCACTTGGTTTGTGCAGGGCACGAAAGTGCCTCGATGTATGTGGGGGACTGGAGGGGGGGGATGGGAGATGACAAGATGGACTGATCAGAATGCGCCCACTGGAGTAGCATCCAAAGGTGTTTTTCTTTTTTGGTTTGATGATTTGGGACCTCAACAAGCAAACAGCTGTCTCGGCCCAGACTTCACTCCTGGTAGATCTGGTTTGACATT